GGAGGAATGGGAAATCAAGGTGAGAGAGGGGAAGGGATGGGAACAAGGGAGAGGGAGGGATGTGAACAAGGGAGAGGAGAGTGGGAGGAATGGGATACAAGGGAGTGAGGGAGGGCATGGGAACAAGGGAGGAGAGGGAGGCGATGGGAACAAGGAGAGAGGGAGGGGAGGGGAAAGGGAGAGAGGGAAGGGGATGGAACACAAGGGAGAGCGGGAGGGATGGGAAACAAGGGAAGCAGAGTTGCGGGATGGGAACAAGGGAGGAAGAGAGTGTGGGATGGGAACAAGGGAAGAGTGGAGGGATGGGAACAAGGGTGAGAAGGGCGGGATGGGAACAAGGAGAGAGGGAGGATGCTAACAAGTGAGAGAGGGAGGGATGGAACAAGGGAGAGAGGGAGGGATGGGAACAAGGGAGAGAGGGAGGGATGGGAACAAGGGAGAGAGGGAGGGATGGGAACAAGGGAGAGAGGGAGGGATGGGAACAAGGGAGAGAGGGAGGGATGGGAACAAGGGAGAGAGGGAGGGATGGGAACCAAGTGAGAGTGGGGAGGGATGAACAAGGGAGGATGGAGGGATGGGAACAAGGGAGAGAAGGGGGGATGGGAACAGGGAGTGAGGGAGGGATGGGAAAAGGGAGAGAGGGGGGGATGGGAAACAGGTGAGAGTTGAGGATGGGAACAAAGGAGGGGAGAGGGAGGGCATGGGATCATGGGTGAGAGGGAGGGATGGGAACAAGGAGAGACGAGAAGGAATGGGAACAAGGGAGGAGAGGGAGGGGATGGGAACAAGGGGAGAGGGAGGGAGGGGACACAAGGGATTGAGACAATGAGGAATGGGAAAGGGAGAGAGGGAGGGAAGTGGAATATATGCCGGATACGAGGTCGAAAGATATGGAGGGAGTAGATAACGTAATTATTGTGTGTAGCACTAGATAAATATATTGATGATACAGAGATTTATTAAAGAAGTGTCGATAGATGGCTTTATAAATGTTAAGATGGTGATGCACTCAGTTGTGTGATTGGATAGTGCTGCACTCAGTTTGGTGAAGGCTGCTGCACATCACTGTTGTGATCCCGGTGTTGCAATCACTGTTGTTGATGGTGCTGCACTCACTGTTGTGATGATGCTGCACTCACTGTTGTGATGCTGCTGCACTCAGTGTTGTGATGGTGCTGCACTCACTGTTGTGATGGTGCTGACATCACTGTTGTGATGTTGCTGCCACTCACTTTATTGTGATGATGCGGCACTCACTGCTGTGTGGTGACAGCACTCAGTTTGTGTGATGATGCTGCACTCACTGTTGTGATGGTGCTGCACTCACTGTTCTGTGATGAAGCTGCACTCCACTGTTGTGATGATGCTGCACTCACTGTTGTGATGATGCTGCACTCACTGTTGTGATGATGCTGCACTCACTGTTGTGATGGATGCTGCACTCACTGTTGTGATGATGCTGCAATCACTGTTGTGATGATGCTGCATCACTGTTTGTGATGATGCTGCACTAACTGTGTGTTATGCTGCACTCACTGTTGTGATGGTGTTGCACTCACTGTTGTGATGGTGTTGCACTCACTGTTGTGATGGTGTTGCACTCACTGTTGTGATGCTGCTGCACTCAGTGTTGTGATGGTGCTGCACTCACTGTTGTGATGCTGCTGCACTCAGTGTTGTGATGATGCTGCACTCACTGTTGTGATGCTGCTGCACTCAGTGTTGTGCGGATGATGCTGCACTCAGTGTTGTGATGGTGCTTGCACTCACTGTTGTGTTTGCTGCATGCACTCACTGTTGTGTGGTGCTGCACTCAGTGTTGTTGGATTGATGCTGCCACTCAGTGTTAGTGGATGGTGCTGCATCACTGTTGTGGGATGCTGCTGCACTCAGTGTTGTGATGGTGCTGCACTCACTGTTGTGATGCTGCTGCACTCAGTGTTGTGATGATGCTGCACTCAGTGTTGTGATGGTGCTGCACTCACTGTTGTGATGCTGCTGCACTCAGAGTTGTGTTGGTGCCATGCACTCACTGGTGTGATGCTGCTGCACTCAGTGTTGTGTTGATGCTTTGCCACTCACTGTTGTGATGTGCTGCACTCGTGTTGTGATGGTGTTGCACTCACTGTTGTGATGTGCTGCACTCCAGTTTTGTGATATGCTGCACCTCACTGTTGTGATGGTGTTGCGCTTCTGTTGTGATGGTGTTGCACTCGCTGTTGGAAGATGCTGCACTCAGTGTTGTGATGGTGTTTGCACTCACTGTTGTGATGGGTGTTGCACTCACTGTTGTGTCTGAGCTGCCACTCATGTTGTGATGGTGCTGCACTCAGTGTTGTGATGGTGCTGCACTCACTGTTGTGATGGTGCTGCACTCAGTGTTGTGATGGTGTTGCACTCACTGTTGTGATGGTGCTGCACTCACTGTTGTGATGATGCTGCACTCACTGTTGTGATGGTGTTGCACTCACTGTTGTGATGGTGCTGCACTCACTGTTGTGATGGTGTCTGCGACTGTCACTGTTGTGATGGTGCTGCACTCACTGTTGTAGATGATGCTGAACTCACTGTTGTGTTGGTGGCTGCATCACTCGTTGTGATGGTGTTGCACTCACTGTTGTGATGGTGCCTGCACTCCCTGTGTGATGCTGCTGCACTCACTGTTGTGATTGATGCTGCACTCAACTGTGTGATGATGCTGCAATCACGTGTGTGATGTGCTGCACTCACGTTGTGATGGTGCGGCATACTCACTGTTGTGATGGTTTGCACTCATGTTTGTGTGGTGCTGACACTCACTGTTGTGAAGCTGCTGCACTCAACTGTTGTGTGTTGATGTGCCTCAATGTTGTGATGATGCTGCACTCACACCCCCTCCTCTGTTCTGTGATGAATGCTGCACTCACTGTGGTGATGGTGCTGCAACCTCACTGTTTGTGATGGTTGTTTGCACTCATGTTGTGTGGTGATGCCTCACTGTTGTGATGGTGCTGCAATCAACTGTTGTGTGCGATCGGTGCTGCAATCACTGTTGTGATGGTGCTGCACTCACTGTTGTGATGGTGCTGCAATCACTGTTGTGATGGTGCTGCACTCACTGTTGTGATGGTGTTGCACTCACTGTTGTGATGGTGCTGCACTCACTGTTGTGATGGTGTTGCACTCACTGTTGTGAGGTGCTGCAAATCACTGTTGTGATGGTTTTGCATCACTGTTGTGATGGTGCTGCACTCAGTGTTGTGATGGTGTGCTAATCACTGTTGTGATGGCTGCAGCAGTCACTGTTGTGATGGTGCTGAGTCACCTGTTGTGTGGTGCTGCCACTCAACTGTTGTTATTGGGCTTCAATCACTGTGGATGATGATGCACTCAACTGTTGTGATGGTTGTGCACTCAGTGTTGTGTTGGTGCTGCAATCACTGTTGTGATGTGCTGCAGTCACTGTTTGTGAAGGTGCTGCACTTTCACTGTTGTGATGGTGCTGCAAATCACTGTTCGTGATGGTGCTGCACTCAGTGTTGTGATGGTGCTGCAATCACTGTTGTGATGGTGCTGCAATCACTGTTGTGATGGTGCTGCACTCAGTGTTGTGATGGTGCTGCAATCACTGTTGTGATGGTGCTGCACTCACTGTTGTGATGGTGCTGCTCTCACTTTTGTGATGGTGCTGCACTCAATGTTGTGATGGTGCTGCACTCACTGTTGTGATGGTGCTGCAATCACTGTTGTGATGGCTGACTGCAATCACTGTTGTGATCGGTGCTTGCAACACTGTTGTGATGGTGCTGCACTCAGTGTTGTGATGGTGCTGCAATCACTGTTGTGATGGTGCTGCACTCAATGTTGTGATGGTGCTGCAATCACTGTTGTGAATGGTGCTGCCTCAGTGTTTGTGATGGATGCTGCAATCACTGTTGTGATGGTGCTGCACTCACTGTTGTGATGGGGCTGCACTCACGTTGTGATGGGCGGCACTCACTGTTGTGATGGTGTGCAATCAATGTGTGATGGTGTGCTTGCATCAGTGTTGTGATGGTGCTGCAATCACTGTTGTGATGGTTGCTGCACTCCTGTTGTGATGGTGCTGCACTCAGTGTTGTGATGGTTGCATGCTTCACTTTTGTGGATGGTGCATTTGCACTCATGTTGTGATGGTGCTGCAACTCACTGTTGTTGTGATGGTGCTGCACTCAATGTTGTGATGGTTGCTGCACTTCTATGTTGTGATGGTAGCTGCAACTCACTACTGTGATGTGAAGCTTGCACTCACTGTTGTTGATGTGCTTGCTCAGTGTTGTGATGGGCTGCACTCAGTGTTGTGATGGTGCTGCACTCAGTGTTTGTGATGGTGTTGCACTCACTGTTGTGATGGTGCTGGTCTCACTATTGTGATGGTGCTGCACTCACTGTTGTGATGGTGCTGCACTCACTACTGTGATGATGCGGCACTCACTGCTGTGATGGTGCCGCACTCAGTGTTGTGATGGTGCTGCACTCAGTGTTGTGATGGTGCTGCACTCACTGTTGTGATGGTGCTGCACTCAGTGTTGTGATGGAGCTGCACTCACTGTTGTGATGGTGCTGCACTCACTACTGTGATGATGATGCGGCATCACTGCTCTGTGATGGTGCCGCATCAGTGTTGTGATGGTTCTGACATACAGTGTTGTGGATGGTGTGCCACTCACTGTTGTGATGGTGACTGCACTCAGTGTTGTGATGGAGCTGCACTCACTGTTGTGATGGTGCTGCACTCACTACTGTGATGATGCGGCACTCACTGCTGTGATGGTGCCGCACTCAGTGTTGTGATGGTGCTGCACTCACTGTTGTGATGGTGCTGCACTCACTGTTGTGATGGTGCTGCACTCATTGTTGTGATGGTGCTGCACTCACTGTTGCGGTGCTGCACTCAGTGTTGTGGTGTCACACTCAGGTGTTGTGGTGTCACACTCAGGTGTTAAGGTGTTGCACTCATGGTGGTGGTTTCCTTGTTCCAGGTACGTCATGCACTAGTGTTGAGTGCACCACCACCATCACTAGTCCTGGACGGTGTTGGTCGTGCTGGTGACTCTTGTGTGGCAGGGGGCGGTGAACTCGCCTCAGTACTCCTCTCCTTGCCTCGACCCTTCCAGGTTAGTACTCACATGTATCTGGTTGCAGGGGTCGAGTCATAGCTCCTGACCCCTAGTGTGTGTGATCACCAATCTGTAATTATATATTTGTAGCTACAATGGTGTCAGTATTTCAAGTTTGTGTTTATCATTTAAAACAAACTCTGGAAGTTACAACATTTACTGGTTCCTCCTTCAATGGATTCCACTGATCAACCACACTGTTTGACACCAGGAATGTTCTACTGTACTTTCCTCTCCACTTTTTTCCTCAGTTTGCAGCTCTGGGTCCATTGGTGTCCCTGTTGCAGCTGCTAAGAGATCTTCAGCAACTGTCCTTTCATGACCTTATATAGGACCTTATAAAGGACCTAATATAGGACCTAATATAGGACCTTATATAGGACTTTATATAGGCCTAATAGGACCTAATATAGGACTAGCCTTGTTGCAAACGTTTGTGTGTGTTTGTGTTTGTTTTTGTGTTTGTGTGTGTGTGTGTACTCATCTAGTTAAGGTTGCAGGGGTCGAGTCCAAGCTCCCTGGCTCTTGGTCCTGTGTGTATGTGCTCACCTATTTGTGGTTGCGGGGTTCGAGTCTTAGCTCCTTATTGTGTGTGTGTGTGTGTGTGTGGTGTGTGTGTGCGTGTGTGTGTGTGTGTGTGTGTGTGTGTGTGTGTGTGTACTCACCTAGTTGTACTCACCTAGTTTAGGCTGCACGGGTCGAGTCCAAACTCCTGGCCCCGCCTCTTCACTAGTCGCTACTAGGTCACTCTCCCTGAACCATGAGCTTTATCGTACCTCTGCTTAAAGCTATGTATGGATCCTGCCTTCACTACATCGCTTCCCAAACTATTCCACTTTCTGACTACTCTGTGGCTGAAGAAATACTTCCTAACATCCCTGTGATTCATCTGTGTCTTCAACTTCCAACTGTGTCCCCTTGTTACTGTGTCCCATCTCTGGAACATCCTGTCTTTGTCCACCTTGTCAATTCATCTCAGTATTTTGTAAGTCGTTATCATGTCCCCTCTATCTCTCCTGTCCTCCAGTGTCGTCAGGTTGATTTCCCTTAACCTCTCCTCGTAGGACATACCTCTTAGCTCTGGGACTAGTCTTGTTGCAAACCTTTGCACTTTCTCTAGTTTCTTTACGTGCTTGGCTAGGTGTGGGTTCCAAACTGGTGCCGCATACTCCAATATGGGCCTAACGTACACGGTGTACAGGGTCCTGAATGATTCCTTATTAAGATGTCGGAATGCTGTTCTGAGGTTTGCTAGGCGCCCATATGCTGCAGCAGTTATTTGGTTGATGTGCGCTTCAGGAGATGTGCTTGGTGTTATACTCACCCCAAGATCTTTTTTCTTGAGTGAGGTT